GTGGGTTTGATGGTTATGGAAGTGGTGTAATAGATGTGGTTGAAGACAGATGGACTGCTGGTTTGCGGTTACAAATAGGGCCATTCGTGCCATGTTCGCAATCATTCTAGTAGGTTCTATGGGATGAGCTATGGGCAGCACTCCAGCTAGGTGGTAAATTCGAGTCTACGATGCTGTTAATGTCGAGTATACCGTCTAGATCGACGGCGTGCCGCGAGAACAAATGTCTGTGAGACAGGTGCCAATTAGAAATTGACTGGAGCCCCGTCCATCAGTTGCCCTCGTTCTTTGCCCCCGTCTTCTTTAACCTCTACGCAAAATCGACCTTTAAAAAAAGTAAGATATTCAGATCCGACGATTGCTGTCGACCCAGCTCTTTCTCATGGGCGTACGCTGACCAGGACCACGCACAGATCTGCTGCATCGAGCTTTTCGACCGCCGCTGTCCTATTGTTATTGATTATCATCAGTGGCATTGTCTCTCTGTCTTCATATCCTTGCTCTCCATTGCCTGCTGCTCGCACATCTCTACTTTCAACGTTCCTGGCCGGCCCTGAGTCTCAACCTCCGATTGACCTCGTTTCCCCAGTTCATTCCTGCCCAGTGTGTGTATTTTCTCGATTTTCTAACATATATCATGGTTTCCGCGAGCTCCGAGTGTCGTTGTTTGTCGTGTCCCCACCGCACGACAAATCATCTGACTCGCATTTCGCATTCTGAGCGACATTCTGCTAACACGGTCTTGCAGGATCCGATTCATCGACTTATCTTACGCAGAGGTAAGTCTTCACCCCACATTGCCCCTTACAAACCCCCTCTCCTCCGTGACTGAGTTTCAATTGATTAGATAGCCTTACGCCTGCCCAAACAATCGAGTGGACAAACTTAAGACCCGACCACATCATTCGAATTATCAGTCCGCATCAATCTCTGTATCGTTGTTCTGCCGATAATTTCCTCCCTATTTAGTTTTAGGGTACGTGATCGACTTGCTCGATTCTATTTCTCCAAAGGCCTGACTTGACCCAGCACGCTTCCACCCAGATGTCTACCCCTGTACCAAAAGTGGCTCCCTACATGACTGATAAACGCGCGATGCAATATGGTTCCTCCGTACCTCGCCAACAATCTTGGGATAGTGTTCAAGCCCTGACGGACAGTATGCACAAAATGAATGTTCGAAATAGTCCTGTCGGAAAAGCCAAACAAAAGCCCGGGTCCCAATCCGACTCTTCCTCTGAGTCAGCGCCTGTTGTGACCCCTGTGCCTGCAAAGGATGCCGACTCGGTAAATAACCTCGAGTCGGCTAAGGGTCAACAGCCAGCACACCTTCATGGTTCGCAGTATCAGGGAGCTGGCGGGTATCAATATCGTGGCATGAACAATCCCCTCGGAGGCGGAAAACCGGAGGAAGTTTTACAAGTTGATTACAATCTACAACCACGTCACTTTATTCCCTCTGGCATGACGTCCTCTCCCCCTTCCATCAATAACACACCAGTCTCTCGACCTACGGCCCCTGGCACATTCGTTCCTCCTGCTCAGAACCTCCTTGGGAATAATCTGCACGGGTCTAATCAGAATGCCCCCGTTAACCCTGCATTGAACGGATTCTATAACCAACCTATCCCTGGAGCTGGTTATCCTGGTGCCGTGCCAGGGGGTGACAATAAAGCTGTCCAGGATATTGCCGCACAGATTGCAGTTGCTAACGCTCTTCAAGGACTCAATCCAGGAGCGACGGGCCCTCAACAAGGACCTCTCAACCCTGCTGCTTTGGCTGCAGCCGCCGCAGCCGCTGGATACGGAAACAACCCTATGCTTCCTAATATCTACGGGAACACACTCTATGCTGCCGCTGGTGGAGCCCCGGGAGCAGCACCATTCTATCCAGGTCAAGAAAACATGGCTGCTGCTGTAGTCAATGCTGTGGCTTCCCTTCCCCCTGCGGCTTTCCAGGCTGCACTTCAGCATGCTGGCCTTGGTACTTACCCACTCAACGGGGTCGGGGTCGTTAACCAGGGTGGGCCGAGCGCAAATAATAGAAAGCTTAACCTTTACAAAACCGAGCTGTGCCGTAGCTGGGAGGAGAAAGGGACATGCCGATATGGGCCTAAATGTCAGTTTGCACACGGTGAAGATGAGCTCAAGAGGGTTCAGAGACACCCCAAGGTATGTCTTTACTTCAAACCTCGAGGGTAAAACTCAGCATATCTTCTTTAGTATAAGACCGAGATCTGTCGCACCTTCTGGCTATCTGGCTCCTGTCCTTATGGAAAACGAGTCAGTATTATTCCCTTTATTGTTTACTTGTATACTGATCAGCTTAAACTTTTTGAATAGTGCTGCTTCATTCATACAGTATGTAAATCAATTTCTTTTGGAACACTTCTCATCGATCTATTACAGGAATTGCCTCCAGGTGGAGCTGCCCCAGGGGTCGTTGAAGAAAAGGAAATAACAGAGACCAGGGAAAGGGCACAAAGTGCAGGCAGTGACTCTGAGCAGCAGCAAACCTCCATGCTTGCAAGAATTAAGCGAAACGAGGCAACAACTCCCTCGCCTCCAACAGTCACGGCCACACCTCAGATGGCAAACGGACCCGTCAACGGCATTACCAACGGTAGACCCAGCCCTGCCGCTCTCAGAGTGGATACAAAATCGCTCGAGCAGACTGTCCCCAAGAATTCGTATCCTTATACGAGCAACCCGGCCATGCCTGCCCCCGGCCTTCCAATTGTTACTGACGTGAGGGTTGGCCGTCTCTCTCCAGTGCCCGCTACAGCCGGAGCGGACTTTGGAAGACACGCGGCTGCAAGACTGGAGGTCGTTGGAGTCAGTCCCCAGTCAACTCAAGCACAACGCCCACCGCAACCCGGCCACTTGAGGTCCGTGTCCCAGAACTTTGCCTCGAGCGCGATCGAGCCAAATAATGGACGCGCTTCTCCTGGCATGGCCCATTTACGTTCAGACAGTTGGGGGGCAAATGCTTTGATCGCCCCTGCATCTGCAATTGAACCACCAGCAAAGTATAACGAAAGGAAGTGGGCATAGATCCGCCAAGACAACATCCTATAGCAGTCACTCCTCCACCTCATTCCTTTCTATTCTCACATCTTGGGTTTTGCAGTTCATCATTCCGCCTTCCTTCAATCTGTCAAATATCTTTGTGCTCATATTACGATCGTCCCCCCGTTCACCGACCCCCTTCCTCATGGCTGGAGCCAAGTAATTCGGAATCACCTAACGGATCACTAACCATCAGCCTCAGGCCATGGATCATGCTCAAGTGATTTATCGCAACCTCTTTGTATTACTTTGTTGCGCGACCAGCCGATCTGCGTGATACTCGAAGCCGTCCATCTGTGGTGGAAACAACAGTGTCACGAATGGCTCACAGCGCACCCATCAATGAAATTATGTGGCCGACGCCTTTCTGCAAGTGGAGAAGGCCAAACCATCGCGGACTCCGTCTTGATGTATACCTCTAAACCTCACTGGCAGCCGCGCCGTATAAGCGCGACTGTTGGTCAAAATTTCGAGTCTACTTATCATTCAACTACATGTCCGTCTCAACTTGTTATACTTACCATCGATATCACCCCATGGTATCATCGTCTCTCTAAGGTCTTGCACCATCCTATTATCCTTGTGCCATCCACTCTAGGCTTGACTTATTGCTTCAAATTGCTCCAAGTTTGCTGTTTCACTTCTATTCTCTCTCTGTCTCCGTTTGTGCTCTCGAATTGACTGTGCCCGGTCTTCATCAGCATTGCCAATATAAGTTGCATAGACCATGTTCCTAACGTCCTCAAAGTTGCAACAAGTCGTATGCAGTACAATTAGTGAAGAGTTGTTTGTGAGAGTTGACCATATGTGATGAGCCACTTGTGTGGTACTTGAACTTGTCTCCCACTCTTGCGGTCTTGAATCTAATGGGCACTACTAAACCTCAGACAAACCGCCAAAATAACTTACAGCAAGCTAGAGGAAAGGATGGAAGCAATCAGCACTTTCGAAAACGCAAACCGAAAGGGGTGGACGAACTACCCGGTGTCCAAAAGATCAAATCTTCAATACGACAGACTAAAAGGCTTCTCGCTAAGGTAAATACCGCCTATACCTACGGTTTAACGAGTATTTAGGATATAACCACGAGTTACTGACATGATATATTACTCCTTGGATCGAATGTGTTTTTCTGCAATCTGTTCGAATACCTCAAGGACAATCTGGATGCAGATGTTCGAGTTACCACTGAAAGGAGATTAAAATCGTTGGAAAATGACCTGGCTAAAGCAGAGTTGGCCAGAACCGAGAAAACCATGGCGGCTCGATATCATAAGGTAAAGCTCAGCCCTTTTAGGCGAAATGTTTATCAAGGAACTGATACTTCTCAAATATCCAGGTCAAGTTCTTTGGTATGTGTTTATTGATACTGGCCAAGGATGCTTCTGATACTCACTGGTTTCAAAGAGCGGAAAAAGGCCCTACGGAGAATCACACAGATCAAACGTCTATTGGAAACACCCCTTGATGCAGATGGAGAGAAACTGGGCAAAAAGGAGAAGAAGGCTCTCGAAAAGGAACTAGTGGAAAAGAGAATTGACTTGAACTATATCACAGTCAGTATCCATCCTAGGTTCTGTTTCATAATACGCCGTTGACGTGCAGGTTTCAGCATTATCCAAAGGCGAAGAAATACATCTCGTTGTACCCGAACTCTACTGAGGATGGGAGCGATGATGGCAAGAATAGCGCTGAAGAGGTACCGAATGGAGTCAATAGTACTGCTGAAACGGATCAGCAAAGACAGGGGTTGAGGGATGCGGTTAAGGCAGCCATGGAATCTGGAGAAATGAGTGGTGAACCAGAGCTATATCTCTCTGATATGCACAAAATCACATCAATCCCTGTACAAACGAGCACTCGGATATCGGAACATTCCGTTGGGCCCTCAGAAGGAACTAAAAAGAGCAAGCGAAAGAAAGGCACGGTCATAGAAGTCCTGAACACTACAGAAATGGACACTAGTATCGCTAACGACGAGTTCTTCGACATATAAGGCGACTAGAAGGACCGATAAACAATGTCGTAGCTTTTCATTTCCCGCATTATCTACAAGAGAGTGCGATATGTCCGTGATACAATTTCCAGTGTACATTATAGATTAATCTTATCTTATTTCCTGAGATCTTTCCTTAACATTGATCCATAACCCTCCCTGTATTCGCGTGTTAATTTATAATCATTTCGAGGCTACAAGAATACCGACCTTAACGCGTAGCACCACACTGGCATATGGCTGTACAGTTTCCAGGTCACGACGTCCACTCTGTACTCGTGATTTGTTCCCATCTTTTCGAGCCGGGTTTCCTTGTGGCCGACCCTTATCTGCCCGCACAAAGATATTGTCACTCATGAGAAGTCTTGCCCAGACATAGGAGATTTGAATATACGCTAGCTGTTGCCCAAGACACTTGATAAAGGAATGAGGTGTTTGTTCAGATAGACCGGGTTCTATTTCACTTACGATACGGGGACCTGCGTTAAATGGGATGAAGGCATTTGTGGGGGTGGAACCAGATAACCAACGTTCAGGTTTGAACTCTGCAGCATCTTCTCCCCAAAGTTCGGGATCACGTTGTAGAAGAATTGGAATATATGTGATGGAACTCTTTGCTGGCATATAAAGAGGTTGCCCCATTTTGGAAAGTGGTGAGGGTAATGGACACGCCTCAGTACCTGTTAAACAAGTAAGGTGAGGCTCTGGGAAGTAAAATGTGAACTATGCTCACTTCTTCGTATGTTGTACGGAACAGGTGGGAAGAGTCGTAAGGTTTCGTTCAATATGGCTTCAGCTATGCACACCAGAGATTAATTGGATACAAATTATAATAGATTGTACGCACTATATTTCATTTTCTTAATATCCGCGACGTTAGGCAGTCGCCCACTCGGGCATATTTCCAATATTTCTGCGCGCATTTTCTCGGCAACGTCCGGATGCTCCATTAGTATATAACCAGTGAAGGTAAGCAGGGAGGATGTAGTATCCCGTGCTGCGAATAAGATGTTGAGAGCCTCATCCCTGACTGCTTTGGCATCTACCGATATGGGTTAATGAAACCCATGAATGGTAATATTGAGACCACTCACCATTTGAAATGAGAGCCAAATGTTCTAGCAGAGTATATTCCGATGAGTTGACATGAGATGCTTTGGCTTGTCGTAAAGCCCGTTCGACGGTGGGTTTCATAAAAGTATCGATGACCTTTGTAGGTGCTACGGTCTTGTCCCCACTCAGCTCGAATAGAGGCCAAGTAGAACCACTAGACATAAATGGAATTAATAAGCCGTCAAGGTGCTTGCGGTAGATGGCATACATTCTGATTCGCTTGGCACCTATTTCGGCCACCTCGCTAAAGGCGTTCATGAATTGATTATAAGGAGCGTCCGGGTCGTCCTCTAGGATCCCTTCCAAGCATTCCGTCGATACTCCGAATAAGAACTCTGTAGCAGTATCCAGAGTATATCTCGCGAATAAGTCCTGGATGGGGTCAATGACATGCCGACTCGAAGGCGAGCAACCTACTTGTAAATCTAACGACTTTCCTTCGAGATGTGCACGGTTCAATACATCCAGCATTTTGTTCATGTGCTTGTCAAAGGATGTAAAGTCGGCTAGCTTCTCTTGACTGAAAAACGGCCGAGCATTCGCTCGATGCCTCTTCCATTTCTCACCGTCCGTAGTGAAGATTCCATCACCCCAAAAGCTTTCAAACATGTCGTGGAACTTTTCTGACTTTTCAAACGTTGTAAAAGCACTGGATAGAACAAACTTGATGTTCTCCGGGTCGACTAACCGAGGCTTCCTTAGACGCGATGAAAGACACAAGACATTTTACATACCTGTCACGATTTGAGATGCCCATAGTATATTCATGTCAAAGGTAGGGCCGTACTCTGAGGCCCACCGGAGAAAGATATCTCCCGGGTAGTCTTCGTCCTCGGCTTCAATCAGTTCTTGCAGTATATCATAGTTGCCGATTTTTTTGCCCTTTATTTTCGGTATCCTTACTGTGCCGAGTCTTTCGCAATCCTTCCGCTTTCTCCTTGACGATAAAACGGAGGAGACGACCTCTGCTATCGGAATGGAGACGAAATAGATTAGAAAAGAGAAAGGAATGTACCTGGGTAAGACCGGAGGTCCAAATTTGGAGAATAGATAGACGAATAGGGGAGGACGAATAAAAGTGTTGAAGAAAGAACGAAGGAGGAAGCGGCTGTATTTTGCCATGCGAAATACTTGGCTACCCCGTATGCGAGCAGGAATCAAGTTGTTCGTAAAGCCATGATATCTCGTATCAGGTCGTTTGTTTATGTTTTCCATTGTGCTATCTCATACGGTCGGTATATTCGTCGAGATACCTCAATGAGGTTAGGTTCAGAGTCGATTGAATTGGTCATCAGGATCACATCAAGAAGCCTAGGAGAGCCGCGCAAATACATTGTGCTTTGATAAGCTTTGATCCTAATGATACAAAAATATTGGTTTTCGGGTGGGATATTCACACATTGATATGTTACGAGTTTATTATGCACCCAACATCGCCAATGTATGAACAACAGCCCAGAAACAGAATCATACAGAACTTTTCTGGGAGAGGTGATAGAGTTGTATAATACCATTTTCGATTCTGAAAATCAATGTCAAACGCATTCGGATGCGATGCCGTTACCACTCTAACCTTTGCTTTAGCATTATGGTGACACCTTGGTTGAGGAATCCCTAATAATGAAGGATTAGAAAGAAAATTATTACAGTAAACAACACACCTTGAGTACTTGGGCGAGTAAACCTTGATAGAGTGCCGCCACGCCGTGGCGATCGACAATATCAAACAACACTGACGCCAGACCTGATTTACTCTTTGAACTGGACCGTGATTGGAGTCTAGTCTTGGCGAGGATGAGTGGATAAAGCAGTGTCACGGCTACATTTCCCTGTTAGAGGGGTGGGCAGAGGCGTATGGGGGGCACGGACCCAAGGTGTTGGATAGGGCTCCACCAATGAACCCTTGTAGAGCCGAAGGACGCTCTCTTGCTCTTCCATGAAGGAATAGGCGTCGGTATAATTGTATGAACAGCATCGTTAATGCGGGATTGGCGCAGAGGATGACCGTGGTGGACATTCCTAAAAGACATGAGTCTCGCGCCAGTATATTCAGGACCGCTTACCTCTCCAGAATCCTGCTAGTCCAGACTCGGAGTATATACGCTTGACAACTCGCCTAATACGGCTCTCTTTAGCATCGACGTCTGATGTCTCTAATGATTGCTTTTCTAAATCTGCAGGGTCTGCATCGTCCTCGTGCTGAAGGTGTACAGTTATGACGCTAAGAGGTGTGGTGACGACCTTGCTCCCAATACCAGAGACGAGGCCAATAAGGAGCTCTTCTGGAATCGACAGCATGGCCGTCAACTTTGCCTTTTCATCGAGCACACCCGAACGAGCACTCTTCCGCTTCAGTAGACTGGTCCTGAGAAACGAGTATAGATAGAAATATATAAAACTGCAAGTGGGTGAGTGATTTGGGACCGGTAGAGGAGTAGCCGGAAGGACGCACTTTGACATCATCGTTGCGACCGAGTCGCTTTCGAGACCAGAGTAGAGCCCAGTTATTCCCTCCTTTCTTAGAGTCTTGTTAATGATGTTCTTTGCGGTTTGGACGTCTGTTGTGGGTCCGTAGCGGGGTACGAGTGAGTGAGCGTAATAGAATGAAAAGGTCGGCTCACCTCCTGGGTAGGCTCTGTTATGTTGTGAAAGCTGGATTCGTGTCACGACGAGGTCTAGAGGATAGGTTGCTGCATTTGCCAAGGTTGCTCCAAGTCCGCCACTCGCAGCTTGAATCCTTGGAGGAAGTGTACTTGTCACTAGTCATAACAACGGGTATTAGAAATGATTGTCTGACTATTAACGAGTAATATGACTCACTGATGTCAGTGGTGGTGAGTGGAGAAAATGGATTGAATAGAGACGCCCGTTTCGACCATTCCCATCCCCGTCTCGATCCAACCTATAGTTATCTTATCAATCTGAACATCCAAGACCTCCAAATAGCACGAACATCTCTCAAGTTTTCCTCTACGATCTCCAAAGCGCTAATCGGTAGCCTGGTCAGTCAGTCCGAAGAAGAGGGAAGGCAAGAAGCGGGCTAGCCCTATCAGCTTTGCTGGCACGCGGTAGAGGCGACCAACTTAAACTATCTACGCTGTTAATTCGATCGACCAGACGGACAAGCGCATATTCAGAGGCTATATGGAGTCAGATGACGGGGACGAGTTTGGGGTTATGCAAGTGAAGTCCACCGTTATTGCAAGAAAATACCCGCCTCTTGACGCAGTCGTGGAGCTACAAGTTCAAACTCTGGATGTGTGTTCAGCTCCAAGAGGCCGTCCAGTATTATAGCCACACGGATCGCCGGCGTCGTTCCAGCCTCGCTATGCCAGTCTATACCTTATCTGTGGAGGGTTATCCTTCTAATTATGTCATCCGAAGCATAACGGATCGATAAACCCAAAATTTCCAGAATAACTGCACAGGTTATTCGGTCGGGCATCGCCCGAAGGGAACCCTGGACGGACCCGAGTATACGATGCACTCTTCGCTCGACGGCACTGCAGCTAGGGTTCTTGTTGACAGAAGATTATGAACCCACCGCCTTGGCCTTGGCATACAGACCAATGTCTTTCCTCCCTTCCCCCATCTACTCTCCAAACTCGCATGAACACGCAGAACTTCCAGCTCCAGATGGCACAAAGTTGAACCCTAGGGCTAAAAAGTTTGCGTGGGCGACTGCTCTTTCGGCCATACTGGGTGTCGCGGGTGGGTGGCTTTATATCGTTGTCATATATTCGCAACTCCCCACGTCAAAGAGCCTGTTTAAGCGTTTAAAATATACTAATTTCTCAATGTAGCGGTTGTTGTCTGTATTGTGGTCGTCTTGAGAGCCAACCATAGACATCTCGATGTAGAGATCGTCCATCCCAATAATGGCACGACAGAAC